GGTGTATCCCTAAACCCATTTTGTGTTTACGTATTCATTTCCAAATTGTAACTTCCTCTTTTTTTTTTTATCTTCTTTTTTTATTTTTTTTAAAAATAAACCCTTTTGTATTTTACTTTTCAAAAAAAAAAACCTTTTTTTGCTGACAATTTTCACTTTTAAAATGTGGTTTTTTCCCCACTGTTTAAAATTTTTACAATAAAAAAACGTTTTTTAAACAAAAAAGAAAAATAAAAGCGGTGTAAAATTTTAAATTATCTATAAACCCTAGTTTTTTAGATCCCAAAACTTTCACACAAAGCAATCAAAATACCTTATTGGGGTTTTTTACCAAAAACATGTAGCAGAATACATTTTGGGGTTTAAAAGTATGACTAACTTGAGTTTACGATATATTTTTTTAGCTGAAAGTAGAAAATATTTTTTTTTTTTCCCAAAAATTTTTGTTTTTTTTTTTTTTGTTTAAAAACGCAAAAAAAAAAAATGTACAAAGGGGGAACAAATTACCAAACCCAAAAGAAAGCTTATTTTTTGTGATAAAAAAAGGGGGGTAAATTTCGTTTGGGGGACCCCATTTTTCATGGGCCGCGGGGAATTATCTTTGAATTAGTGGGAGGGGCTGTAAAAGCAAAAAAAGGCAATTTTTTTACAGTTTATACCCTAGTTTGTTGACGCTTTTTAACTTTCACAACAAAAACGGATCAAAATACACTTATTGGGATTTTTTTTTCCCAAAAAAATGGGCAGAATACAATTTTTGGGTTAAATTTTTGACAACTTTCAGTTTTTAAAAATATTTTTTATAGCTGAAAGTAGAAAAATTGTTTTTTTTTCAAAAATTTTTTTGGTTTTTTTTTTTTTTTTTAAAACGCCCAAAAAAGGAAAAAAAACGCACAGGTTTCTAAAATACACCAAAAAAAAGCTCTTTTTTGTGTAAAAAAAGGAGGGAAAATTTTTGTTTTGGGGATCGCATTGCAAAGACCCGGCAATTAATTTTTAAAATTTTGCAGTTTTCCCCAAAAAGCAAAAAAAAGGGTTGGGGCAAATTTAAGGGGGGAAATCCTCAGGAAATCAAGTGGTTAAACCCCTTCAGTCCGGACTTTTTACCCCCACTGGGACCATGAAAGGCTTTCCAAATAGATAAAATGAGAAAAAAATGGTTACCAAGTATAGACTCTGTCAAACTGACCCTTGTTTTCAAAAACGGCCCAACTGTCACCTGCCCAATGTCAAGTAGCTATAGTGCAGTGCTTAACCGCTTCCCATACCGGGCACTTTTACCTCTTCCTGCCCAGGCCCAATTTCAGCTTTCAGCGCTCTCACACTTTGAATGACAATTGCGCGCTCATACAACATTGTAAAATATTACCTTTTTTTCACACAACTAGAGCTTCTTTTGGTGGTATTTAACCACTTGAGCTCCTGAGGATTTAACCCCCTTAATGACCAGGCCTTTTTTTGCTGTTTGGCGCTGCACTAATTCAAATGATAATTGCACGCAAATGCAATGCTGTACCCAAACGAAATTTACGTCCTTTTTTTCACACAAATAGAGCTTTCTTTTGGTGGTATTTTAACACCTGTGCGCTTTTTATTTTTTGCGCTATAAACAAAAAAAACACAAGAATTTTGAAAAAAAAACAATATTTTCTACTTTCAGCTATAAAAAATATATCGTAAACTCAAAGTTAGTCATAAATTTAAGCCAAAAATGTATTCTGCTACATGTTTTTGGTAAAAAAAAATCCCAATCAGTGTATATTGATTGCTTTGTGTGAACGTTATAGCGTCTACAACCTATGGTATAGATACTGTAATTTATGCCTTTTTTGCAATACAGCGCCTGCACTAATTCAAATGATAATTGCGAACTGGGTCATGCAATGCTGTACCCAAACGAAATTTACGTCCTTTTTTTCACACAAATAGAGCTTTTTTTGGTGGTATTTTAACACCTGTGCGCTTTTTATTTTTTGCGCTATAAACAAAAATAATAATAATTTTAATTCTTAATTTTAACTTTATATAATTATATTATTATAAAAAACTATTTTTTTAAAATATTTTTAAATATTTTTAAAATTTTTTTTAAAATAAATAAATTAAAAAATTATTTATAAAATAAATAATATTTTTTTAATGAATTATAAATATAAAAAATTAAAAATTTTTTTTTAAAAAATTTTAATTATAAAAAAAATATAAAAATAAATAAAAAATATAATTTTTATATTAATTTTAAAAAAATATAATTTTTAAAATTTATAAAATAATTTTTAAATATAAATAATAAAAAAAATTAATTTTTAAAATATCATTATTATAATATAAAAAAAATTTTTAAAAAATTTATTATATTTTATTATAAAAAAAATATATATTATAATAATTATAAAAAATAATAAAAAATATTATTAAATAAATAAATAAATTTATTTAAAAAATATATTTTTATATATAAAAAATATAAAATATTTAAATAAAAACAAAAAATTAAAAAAAAAAAATTATAAACTATTAAATTTAAATTATAAAAAAATAAAATAATAACTAAAAAATAATATAAAAATTAAATAATAAAAAATTATTTAATTTATAAAATTTTATAAAAAAAAAAAAACTATTAAAATTATTTGACTAAAAACTTAATAAACATATAAATTCTATAATATATAAAATTTATTTATAAAAATAAATAATAAAAAAAATCCAAAAATAAAAAATAAATCAAATAAAATTAAAAATACGAAACATCTCCAAACAACCAATAAAAATAAACATATAAAACAGATATTACAAATACAATAAACAACTAAATATCTTAAATTAATAGGTAAAAAAAAATAACCAATGCGAATCAAATACTAAATCAAAAACAATAACAACTAAAAATCTAAATAAAAAACCAACAAAACAAAAATATAAATAATAATTGAGCAATTTAAATGCTACATAAACATTCATACCATACTTCACAAAATTATACCCAAATCAATCTCCAATATTTAACCACAAGCATGGCAATAATACTAAAAAATCATTGTAAACACCTAACCGTGATACCTAAAATGTCCGCCATACATATAAAATATAAATTATTATAAAAAAGAAGCTTTAATTATAATGAAATACTTATAAATCAAGGGAAATTCATAACCACTTAACGGCCCAGGCCAAACATAAAACTTAACAATTATAAATGAAAAATAAATATACACTAATAAGGCCCAAAATGAAATAAGGGCTATCAATATATAATATTAATAAGCATGATTAAAATAACCCCATTAAATAATATACAATAAAAATTTATCATTGTTTTCACGCAACCCCAAATATAATGATTCGGAAAACAAATGTAAAAATCACCACATAGTGAGATTTTTGTTCAGGAACTACTCACACTGTAATAAACCAATCCCAACCTCTCACTGATTGGTGCAACCAGATAATATTACACCAGATACCCATGCGTCTGTCATGGGCGCTGATTACAACTAATGATGTATTACGCAATTACATGATTTCCACCTTTTAAACCAACCTGAAATACCCCATTGTTAAAAATACTAGACCTCCACAAAGTTCCTAAACATATTGCACCACAATCAAATTAATCGAGTTTGACTCGGCACTCCCATATTTAGGCATGATATGTGAACATCCAACACCAGTGATGGCACCCTCGAACTGTTAATAAAAATACCAGCCAGTGACAGATCACGCCGCAGCGCGGCCCTGTAGGCATGTGCAATGCGCGCTCTGGAAAGGACGCCTTATGGCATCCACCCGGAGGGAAGAGCGACGGATTAACATAACTCTTACATAACACTTCATACAGTACAATCAAATAATAACTGACAGTAATGATCCCAACCGGGTCCAAGGTCTTCCAAGGCACTGTTATTCACATCAATAACTCGGCTGTATCTGACACCAATGAAAAGGCCCCCAGCCGCTACTACACCGCCTCGGGGACAATACTACAACTACGTAGTCCCAGATACAGCCCAATGAACTCCCACCTTACCAACATGACCTTATAATTGGGAAGGAACACCCATACCTACGATGGGCCCAACCCATAATCCACCAAATGGTCACTCCAGCACCGCCTTCAAAGACCCAGCGACCCCTGCCGGCTGCCATGACAAAACAAAAAACGCCAAACACCCCAGAACACAAAATGCCGATCAAGGAAAGAAGATAAAATCAAGGAACCCAAACAAAACCAAACAACACGACAAACACAAAGGACAAGAGGAAAAACAAAAACAAAACAACAAAACAATAAAACAAGTCCAGAGAGGGAGGGAGGGCGGGACAAACCTCACCCATGCTGGAACAAGCTCCGACTGACACCCAGCAAGTCCCAACCTCATCCTGGAAAGACCACCCTCAAACTTGAATACTCCAATCAGGTGAGTAACCGCCCCTACCTATTGAATATCCTCCCACCCAAATCCAATCTCCGCCTCGTCTGCAAGCCGCAGTCATGCTGGCCCTCCCCTTAGCTCCGCTCAGTCCAGGCCATGACTTATGGGCTGATAAGATTTCTGGCAGGATCAATGGGGCTTTTTTTTTGCTTTTATTAACCACTAGCCTACAGGGCACTTATACCCACACTTTGAATGACAATTACGCGATCATGCAGCACTGTACCCATATGAAATTTTTATCATTTTTTTTTGTGACAGACAGAGCTTTGTTTTGGTGGTATTTAATCTCTGGGATTTTAATTTTTTCTTAAACAAACCAAAAACCACTGAAAATTTGAAAAAAAAAAAGTTTTTTCTTAGATTTTGTTATAAAATTTTGTAAATAAGTGATTTTTCTCCTTCACTGATGTGCGCTAATGAGGCTGCAGTGATGGGCACTGATAGGTGGCACTAATGGGCACTGATGAGGAGGCACTGATGGGCACTGATGAGGAGGCACTGCACTGTAGGTGGCACTGATGGGCATTGACAGGCATTACTGATGAGCACTGAAAGGCAGCACTGATAGGCGGCACTGACTGGCACTGATATGTGGCACTGATTGGCATTGATAGGTGGCACTGGCTGGCACTCACAGGTGACACTGAAAGTCAGCTCAGATGGGCACTGATATGTGGCATTGATATGGCACTGATGGGCAATGGCAGGTGACATGGATGAGCACTGAGTGCTGGCACTGATGGACACTGACAGGTGGTACTGCTGGGGCTACACTGATCATCAAGGCACCTGTGATTGGACACAGCTGATCACATGACCGAGCTGACATCTTCGGCTCTTTCCGTGAATCGGTGATCCGCTGTGTCCGAGGGACACAGTGCACTGGCGATTGCTCCCGGAGCCGCGCATGCACGGTGAGAATGGGAGGACATCATATGACGTCCTCTCAGAACTAGAGAACCACCTCGTGGACTATATGGCGGGCGGGAGGCGGTTTAAACAGAAAAAAAAATATTTTGCAATGATTTATGTTTATCAGACCAAAAAAGAGCAAATGAGAAAAATTCACCGTTAGGGTTGAGTGCTGATTCACATACTGTATATATATATATATATATATATGAAAATCGATCAGTCTTGATGTACTTGATGGCCTATCTCATTTCTTGAGGCCCCAAAACACCAGGACAGTGCGAATACCCCCCAGATGACCGCCTTTTTGGAAAGCAAACAGTCCAAGGTATTTAGTAAGAGTTCTTTGAAGGTTTTATTTTTCAAAAATTAATACATTTAAAAAAAAAAAAAAAAAAAAACACCCTCACTGTGTAAGGGAAGATAAGGCTTGTCACCATGCTCCCAGAACAATGTACTGGGACCATGAAAGGCTTTCCAAATAGATACAATGAGAGAAAATGAATGTTAACCATTTGCCCCCCGCCCTATGGCCGAATGGCCGCCGGCAAATGTCATCAGCGTTCCAGGTGGACGCCATATGGCGTCCTCCCGCACAGATTGAGCTCCAGCAGAGCCGCGCAGCGGCGCGATCTGTCACCGGCTGTGTACCTAAGCTGGAAAAAGGCTGCAATGTGGACAAAACACGCTGGCAAGAGCGATGCTTGCGGTGCAGGTAGTGGGGGCACACTGTCTCCAAATGCCCTTTGTCTCAGCCTCCAGTGCAAAGTTGCATAGCAAAGCAAAGGACTGCATCTGCGTTTGGCAAGCCGGCTCTGAGTGCAAGGAAGGAGCGACAGGCTGACCACAAGTTTGAGAGGAGTGCGGTTGCTCGTAGCAATAGCTGCAATGTAAAGTCTACGGTGAGAGGTGCTGAGTTCTGGGCCTCTGATTACATGCAACCCATGCTACCTACAGAGGAGGACTTCCTTGAAAACTTTGAAAAAGGCGCTACACAGAGAAAATGGCCTAGGGACCAGTGGCCAGAGTTGCTGCAATCCTTATTACCGAGGGCGTTCCGGTCGATTTACCATTTCATGGATTGGGACCAGGATGACTACTGTACCTTTAACCTCCCTGGCGGTATTCCCGAGTGTAGCTCGGGGTAAAGTTTCAGTACCAAAAGCTACACTCGGGCTTACCATGCGGCGTTGCATAGGGATTCCCTACAGCGCTTACCTTGTCCTTCGCATTTTGTCCCGAGTGCTTTGTCCGGCGCCCTGCCTGCATTTTGACTGTTCTTTCTGCCTGGAAACTTAGAAAAGTCCATGGCGTCCAAAAAGCGTCCCTTTAGGTCAAAATCGATTTTAGACCGGCTAGAGAACAGCGATAGTAAATTAGAACCACTTGCAGAATTGAGTGATAATGATTCGTGGGGGAAATTCGTCATCAGACACTGAAAACGATTTTGCGACTTTTGCTCAGCGATGTGCGAAATTGGCGATATATTTCAAATTTCAGTGTTTTTGGTTTGATTATATTATTGAATTCAATTTTTATTATTATTATATTATTATTTTTTATGAGTATTTATTAAATTATAATTTATGATTTCGTGTTTCAAGTTTTATCATACCCGGGATGTTTACTAGACTCTTGTTCGGACAGATTTCAGGGAGTTATTCCTAAATTACAGGCCTACAATAAAAAAAAATACATATTTCCATGCAAAAAAATGGTACCGCTTTCAGCACAAAAAATCTGAAATAATCATACCGCCAGGGAGGTTAAAGAGGAAATCCTTCTTTGAGGGGAAGTTCGGCGTGTCATGGCTGGCCAGCAATGCTCCAGGTTGGAAGAGGTGTCGCTGGAAGGCCAAGGGGGATCTGAAGCCAGAGAAATGCAAGGTTTCGTGTTACGGCCGCTTAGGTGAAGTGGTCAGCCCTGAACAGAGGGTACAACAGCCTGCATCCGACATGAGGTATAGCCAATTGCCTTTTGAGAGCGAGTCTACTGTTACCCCTAGCAACAGGGATCTTGTGTTACCTGCAGGGGGTGTAAGTTGGTCAGGAATGGCTGCAGTGTTGCCTCGTGACCACATGGGGAAGTCAGTCCGTGGAGACACCACAGAGGAGAGACTACGCACTCAAGTGAAGGCTATGACACCTGCTTCAGGAAACGGTAAGACTGTTTCGGTTTGTGGGACTGAGTCCAAGGAAGTGAGAGTGTCCTTCAGGGAGTTCCACAATACAGATGGACATGGACTGGCTGCTGTGTGCTACCCTGAGTAGTGGGGAGGCACAGGGAACAGCCCAACGATTAGCAGACTAAATATGGAATAGGACATGGGGACTCTGCAGGGGCCTGCTATAATCCAGCAGATGGCTGGGGAAGTTAGACTAGGGGTGACCAAAACTATCCTGGCACCGTGTTCCCTAGTGATAGGTGCTGCAGAGATGCCCAGGGAAACCTCCCAGGAGCCCGCAGTGACGGAGCAGAGGATTTCCCAGGTCAGCTATGGAGCTGCTAAAACTGAAAATACTGCTCCTTTAGAGAGAGAGAGAGTGCTGTGAGGCATGGCTGACAGGCTGCTCAGCTGGGTAATATCCAGGGACTACCCGCAAAAGCCACAGTCATGTCTATATGTAATGAGAATGCTGATGGTCATGTCGACAAAAGTGTTACTATTGGTAAATGTAATGTTATGGTTGGTGATGGGCTAGCACAGCTCACTAAAGATAACAGCGTTGTTGATGTGAATATGAGTAAAGATATGTTGTTGCCCTTGGCAACAGTATCAAGGGCTGCAAAGGTGTCCATGGAAACCTCCTGGTAGCTCTGTGTGTTGGAGCCAGAGGTTGCCTGGGACAACTATGGTGCTGCTCTGGACAAGAGAGTACTTGAACCAAATGATTTAAATGCTAAAACTGAAATATTTGAAAATGCTCCTGGTGATAATGGGTTATTGGAGTCAATAAGGAAAACATTAAACAAGAATGGAGTACATGGGAGGACACCACGGAGGAAGCCATTGCTGTCCAAAAAGAATATTGTAGCACGTTTGAAGTTTGCAAAAGAGCACCTGGATGTTCCACAGCACTACTGGCAAAATATACTGTGGACAGATGAAACCAAGATTGAGTTGTTTGGGAAGAACACACAACACTATGTGTGGAGAAAAAAAGGCACAGCACACCAACATCAAAACCTCATCCCCACTGTAAAACATGGCGGAGGGAGCATCATGGTTTGGGGCTGCTTTGCTGCCTCAGGGCCTGGACGGATTGTTGTCATTGATGGGAAAATGAATTCCAGAGTTTATCAAGACATTTTGCAGGAAAACGTACGACCATCTGTCCGCCAACTGAAGCTCCGCAGAGGATGGGTGATGCAACAGGACAATGACCCAAAGCATACAAGTAATTCTTCAAAACAATGGCTGCACAGCACAGAATACGCCTTCTGGAGCGGCCCAGTCAGAGTCCTGACCTCAACCCGATTGAAATGCTGTGGCATGACCTTAAGAGAGCGATTCACACCAGACATCCCAAGAATATTTCTACACTGAAACAATTTTGTGAAGAAGAGTGGTCCAAAATTACTCCAGATCGTTGTGCAGGTCTGATCTGCAACTACAGGAAACGTTTGGTTGAGGTTATTCCTGCCAAAGGAGGGTCAATCAGTTATTAAATCAAAGGTTCACATACTTTTTCCTCCCTGCACTGTGAATGTTTACATGTTATGTGCAATTAAACCATGGCAACATCTAATGTTTGTGTAGTATTATGTTCAGCAGACTGTGTTCTTCTATTGTTGTGACTTAGATGACGTTCAGAGCACATTTTATGCCCAATTCATGCAAAACTCCACGTAATCCCAAGGGGTTCACATACTTTTTCTTGCAACTGTATCAGTGCCATGTATCAGTGCTACCTTTCAGTGCCCATCAGTGATCCCCGTCAATGCCCATCAGTGCCACCTACCAGTGCCTCCTCATCAGTGCCCATCAGTGCCACCTATCAGTGTCCATCAGTGCAGCCTCATTAGCGCACATCAGTGAAGGAGAAAAATAACTTATTTACAAAATTTTATAACACAAACTAAGAAAAAACATTTTTTTTTACAAAATTTTCAGTGGTTTTTGGTTTGTTTAAGAAAACATAAAAAAACCCCAGAGGTGATTAAATACCACCAAAATAAAGCTCTGTCACAAAAAAATGATAAAAATGTCATATGGGTACAGTGTTGTTTGACCGCGCAATTGTCATTCAAAGTGTGACAGCACTGAAAGCTGGAAATTGGCCTGGGCAGGAAAGGGGTATAAGTGCCCTGTAGGCTAGCAGTTAAACCCCCCCCCCCCCCCCCCTTAAAAACTCAATATCAAAAATATTTTCACATAACCTTAATCCTGTTTTGTTTTTTCAATTCCAAGCAGCAATTTTACATTGTGGGAACGCACCGCAAATGCTTGTGGCTGAAGCGTGAATCTTGTTGACCTCAATGGGCGAATTTCACATGCGGCGCCACCTCTCACATTCTCAGACTTAGCAGCCCATGTAGCAAAGCATCACGGCTACTATATGTGTATAGCCCAGGCAGACTGTAATGTCAAAATGCCAATTTGTGGCTGGAGGGCAGTAAAACCTTGGCTCTGACCCCTGGATTTGACTCAACCTTCCTTTCCCCAGCTGCCTGTGTGAAAGAGCTCTTATGAATAGATCTGTTGTGGTTTTAAAAAAAATTCAAGCAAGAGCTAAAAATATTAGGCCAAGAAGAGTAGAACCATTAATCTCCAAATACAGAAAGGTTTCTTCACAGTAAGAGCTGTGAAAATGTGGAATAAACTCCCTCAAGAGTTGGTTCTGGCCAGCTCAGTGGATTGCTTTTAAAAAAGTCCTGGATTCTTTCCTAGATATACAGAATATAACTGGATACTAACATTTATAGGTAAAGTTGATCCAGGGAATATGTCCGATTGCCTCTCGGGGATCAGGAAGGAT